AAGGGAAGGAAAGGGAAGGAAAGGGAAGGAAAGGGAAGGAAAGGGAAGGAAAGGGAAGGAAAGGGAAGGAAAGGGAAGGAAAGGGAAGGAAAGGGAAGGAAAGGGAAGGGAAGGGCAGGCAAACTGAATTAGAAAACGAATTTTGTAGTGAGGTTCATAGCAGGAATTCATAGGGAGGCTCATGAGATTTCTAACTCCCAAGTAAATTTCTAAGGAAGTTTACCTGTGTTCCCTACAAGTAATTATCATAAGACTGGGACTGTCACATACATTCATATAATCATAGTTCACAGGCACCAAATCTCAGCAACCTGCAGCTAAGGGGGGAAATGCCATGTTTAAACGATGAACCATGTCAATGGATGAGCTACAATTATGATCCACTCTCTGGTAAGTCTCAATCGAATATTTTTCTTTAAAAGAAAATTGAATCATTTATCAAGATCTCTCCCAAACAAAGAGAGCCAGAACACTAGAGAATCTAAATATATATACTAGCTCTCTTAGCACATGAGGAAAAAAGGCATTTCCATGGGAAAGAGAAACCAGTATTTGGCAATTGTATATTATAGTTCTGTAATCATTTGGCATCTCTTACTAAAGGTGACTTGCTCTTATATTTTCCCTATATTAGATTTGGGCTATTGATAACTTCCACTGCTAAAGACCTACTACTAAAGTAATATCAAATATGAAAACATTTTGTGGTTTTCTTAATGTTATCAGTGTTCCTAAACCAATTTGGGGACTTTAAAAATAAAAACAAAGCATCTTTAACTCTGTATGAACCAAAACATTATAGACATGAGGCTAAAATCACTAGAAACATTTTGCTGGTCTAAAGTACATTATGCTTAACCAAAATGCCACATGGTTTTATAAAAAATAAAATAAGTTGGGAGTTAGTAGGTCCAATATCCCATAAGTTCAGATCATTTGTATCACTCCCGCTACCCAAGTACTATACACACTTGAGTTCCCAGGTCTGTTAAGCAGATCAGTTTAGTTCAATGGTGATGGATGAAATATTTACAAGCATCTTATTTACAGTACTTTTTTCTGTAGATTACAGGCCACTATTCTTTTCTTCCATTCCTAGTCAATCCGAGTTTGGTTTCCTCAACGAGAAGGGATAAATCTGAAAATGGCTGCTCAGCTGCTTTACCTGTGGAAAACCAGAACATGAGGCAGTGACAAATATATTCCTAGTAATTTTTTAAAAGGACACAGAATTCACCCTCTGGAGACAATTTACTGACACGGCAAAACTCAGCAGAAATAATGACAGGTTTTTCTGGCCTAGGATAGCTATAGAGCTAGGTTATAGAATTCTATAGAATACCAGGACTACCCCTGGGAGGGTTAGGACTTAAGCCTGGGGCTGCCTAACTCCAAAATCTAGTCTTTCCAGAGCCCTCTGGACCACACAGATTCACACCCAAATCTGCTGAAAAATTATAGGGTTAGCTGACTTACAATATATAGATCAAATATTTACATATATAGTTAGACTCAATATTCAGCTACTTATAGCATTTCTAGGTAATCATTCCTAATACTGATGAAACAGTATAAAAGTAGATTTGTACATGTTGGGAGATTTAGGCCATATTGGTTAAGGTATTCCTGGTGGGTAGGCAAGGCCCCGGTTATGTGTCAGTTACCAAACATCATTTATTTAATACTTCCCAGCTCTATTGTTATTATTTATATTTCAGTAGTTCAAAAGTTAGTGCTTTGTGTGGCTTATCAAGTTTTACCTTCTGGTCAGAAGTTGCAGAAGTGGCAAGAGAGCACAAAGACAGACAAGAAAGATGTTCTTTGAATTTTGTTTTTCAATAACATGTATTTATTTTCCAGGTTTTTAACAGTGAAAATGTACTGCTTTTGTAATTTAAAGAAAAAGATGTTTTGGTTTGGTTTATGTACAGTTGCCTAAAGATATGCTTCCGAGGGGTTATAATAAATTAGTACAATTATAAAAGACATTTACAACTATATTCTACTTCATGAATGACTGATGAAATAGAATATGAAAGCCTAAGAGTATTAACATAAAGTGAAGAAGCATTTATGTTAAGTACGGGCAAATAAAAACAAACAATTATGTCTTCACGTCATAATCCCTAGTTATCATGGATTTTTTATTTCATCTATTTTATCCCAACAAATGTAAGCTACTTTGGGGAGCACCCTAAGAGAAGAAACCTAAGTTCAGCAACATATGCACAGTATAAAGTAGTTATCAAGCATGACAGGTGCACCCATTTTAAAAATATGTATGACAGTATAGAAGACATTTTGTTTCTCAAACTGAGTCCTAGTAGGATTCCTTTTAAAACAAGCATACCAAATAGAAACATTTTAAGAGTCATAAAAACACGAATACTAACATGAATACCCTTTTACATTTTCCATTGCTATGAAACTACCCTCAGAAAACAAAGAAAAATATATTATTCCAGATTGTTCACTCTAACTTTAATTTATAATGGTGAAAATTTAGAAACAACATAAATGATTAAAATACCTGGATCATAACTAAGTACACTGGGTAATTATTAAGTAATCTCCTTGATGGAATATTGTACAATTAAAAATCATATTTATAAGACCATGCTAAAATATGTAAAATAATTAGAAAAGAGTGTTAAAGTGTGAGGGAAAGAAAATAAACTGCATGGTTCTCATTTTCATTTTATTCTATCTTAGTCCGTTTGCCCTGAAACTAGTCTTTTGCTTTAGAAGAGAATATTAAGGTTTGCAAAATACTTCTTAAATCCGTTTTCTTCTAATATTTCCCCCTTATAAAAATGCCCCTAAAGCTAACGAAGCAAGTAAGAAATAAATCATCAACAAATGGGATTATTTGGTCCTCACAGAATTAAAAGCACATTAAGAGTTTACAACTCCATTCACCAAGAAAACAGTTTATATTTCTACCTACTTAAAAACAACTAATTCCTGGGCGCCTGGGTGGCTCCGTTGGTTAAGCGACTGCCTTCGGCTCAGGTCATGATCCTGGAGTCCCGGGATCGAGTCCCACATCGGGCTCCCTGCTCAGCAGGGAGTCTGCTTCTCCCTCTGACCCTCTTCCCTCTCGTGTTCTCTATCTCTCATTCTCTCTCTCTCTCTCTCTCTCTCTCAAATAAATAAAATCTTAAAAAAAAACCAACTAATTCCTCATAATAATTATCCAGCTTTTAAATTACTTGTAGTTACTGTAACATATTCATCAGAGAAACGATATCTGAAATTATGTACCTGGATATTATTCAAACTTTACAGAGAATATCCCAATTCTTCCAGCTACTTTATTTTTTTTTCCTTCCCATTACTTTAATAAGCAACTTTCTTATGAAATTTTTCCCTCACCTCCTTTCCTAGTACATAAGAACCAAATGGAATCAATTTTGCTCTAGAGTACTCACCACTTGTACTCCATAATGGATGTGCGCCAGAGTGAAAACAGCTGTTAAAGTATGCAGGAGAATGCTCTCAACGTAAGCAGGTACTCCTAAGTTTACCACCAGGATAACCAAGAAAAGAGGAACGAGGAACCAATTCAAAGTTGGGCACCGGGTGCTGCTCATTTGACAAACAATCAGCTGACACTTGAAGTTGGGGGGGGGGGAAAAGAATGAAAATTTAATTAGCAAAGCACTTAAAAAATTAGTAACTCCAACATTTAAAAAGCATTTCAAGTACTTGAACCAACACAGTTACACGACATTATTAAAATCAGTAGTTCTCAACTGCTCAGGAGCCGAACTGAACCTCTGCCCACACGTCCAAACCCACGGACCCTCAGAGCATGTGTCAGAAGAGGCGGGAAGATAATTTAGTCAGGTTGCTATAGAAGGCATTCTTCCACTAGGTAACAGTTTGGATAAAAGAAATTTCTCCCAATTTTAAGCATGATATCTGAAAAAAACTTTCAAAACAGCCTTTTATAGCTCCATACAACTAAATTTCTTCATGGTGCTGAGGAGATGCTGTCTCCAATTCAATCATATGGTCACAGTAACACCAAGACCTCTCTGGCTCCCTTTACTTTCAATACCTTACTCAAATCTAGCTTTATTCTTCTGAAATAGCTTTTATACAATGTATTAATATTTTCACATCTTTAAACCCTGTGAAATCAATAGGATGGTGATATTGAACACATGTTACAGACACGGAAACATAAACTCAGTGGCTACCTTATAAAGTAAAAACTTACCAAGTTTTTAGAGTTAGAGCACAGGCTCCCTGGTTGTCAGAACCATTAAGGTCCCTCCTCAACTCCTCCTGATCTCTCCTACCTGTCTGCTCTCTTGCTGGGCCATCACAGAGAAAGGGCTTTTAAAAAATGTTCTATTTATTACAAAGTTTTTACTCCCTGTTAATTTTAAAATCAGCTGATTTAGAAGTGTGTGTGTGTGTGTGTGTGTGTGTGTGTGTGTATTTTCTCTCAAAAACCCCTTTCAGCCTCGCTAAATTAATCATTAGATCTGCAGCCATCTGGAAAAGGAAAAAATAATTTTCAGGATTTCTGTCCTAGGGGTTACAATTCTTTCAAGTTTCTGATGTAAAATATCTTTAAATTAAAATCTGTTTATTTTTAATACTATATAAAATTTCTCAAATTATCAACTTTTGTCATATATTCCTTAGATAAATTATGACTAATTTTTTTTAAAGATTTTATTTATTCATCAGAGAGAGAGAGAATGAGAGATAGAGAGCACGAGAGGGAAGAGGGTCAGAGGGA